AGGCTGCAATGTTCGGGTGTCTGGGCATCTCGCGCTGGCTTCTCTCGCAACCTTCCTGCTGTTGTCCTTTTCGGAGACCTTGCAGGTTACTGCTGCTGCTGGTGCTGCTGCTGCTGCTGCTGCTGCTGCTGCTGGTCCTGCTCCTGCTCCTTCTCCTCGTGCTTCTGCTGCTACTGGTGCTGCTGCTGCTGCTGCTGCTACTGCTTCTGTTTCTGTTGCTGCAGTTTCTGCGGCTCGCGCTGCACGTGCTTGTGCTGCTGCTGCTGCTTGCCGCTGTTGCTGCAGCTTCTGATGCTGCTGCTGCTTGTGCGGCTCTTGCTGCATGTGTTTATGCTCCCGCTGCAGCTTCTGATGCTGCTGTTGCTGCTGCTATCGCCCCTGTTCCTGTAGCTGCTGCTGTTGCTGCTGCTCTCCCTTTTGCTGCTGTTATTGCTGCTTTTGCTGCTGCTGCGCTGTCTCGATGCTGCAGCTGCACTTGAGGGCGCTGCCACTTTTAATTTGGCTGCCAAATCTAACGTTGTTCCTTGCTGCTGCTGCTGCTGCTGCTGCTGATGCTGCTGCTGCTGCTGCAGGCCGCGTGTCTTGCGGCGATTTGGTTTCTGTTGTTGGCGTAGCTGCATGCCGGTGGGAACGGCTCAACAAAGACTGCAGGTTTGCTGCTGCTGCTGCTGCTGCTACTGCTGCTGCTGCTACTGCTGCTACTGCCGCTGCTGCTGCTGCTGCTGTGTGGTCCCGTTGGTGTTCTAGTGCAGCAGCAGTTGCAGTAGCAGCAGTGGCTGACGCCCAGTGCCGCTGCTACTATCTGCATTGCTGCTGCAGCTGCTGCTGTTGTTTCCGCTGCTGCTGCTGCTGCTGCTGCGTGGAGTAGTTAGAGAACTGGTGCAGCAGCAGCAGCAGCAGCTGACACCCACTGTCTTCGCTGCCTTCAGTGCCTTCGCTCCTTCTGCTCCTTGGTGCCCCTGCTGCCAGCTCTGCTGCTGCTGCTGCTGCTGCTTGCAATCCCTGCTACCAGTTCTGCTGCTGCTGCTGCTGCTGCTGCTGCTGCTGCAGGCCTTGCTTGGAGGTTTTTGTGGAGGCCAGCAGCATTGAGGTGCTGAGCTCTTCCTGTTCAGCTTTTGCTGCTGCTGCTCCCCTGCCGTCTTCTTTGGCGCAGCTGCTGCTGCCGCAGCACCTGGCTTTGAGGCACTTCGCCCCTTATAACAGCAGCAGCAGCAGCAACAGCAGCAACAGCAGCAGCAGCAGCAGGAGTGAGGGGAGCAAGGAGGGCCAGGCGATGGGCTGCCTCATGGACGGCGCGAGCGCCGCTGCTGCTGCTGCTGATGCGGATCCTGCTGCTGCTGCTGCTGCTGCTGCTGCAGTCGTAGCTGCTGCTGCTGGCTCAGCCATAACTGTTTCTGAGCTGTTTGAGGGTTTGTGGGGAGCTGTACGTACACCCCAGTTCAGCGCAGCAAGCCTATCCACCCTCCGTCGCCAGCTGCTGCAGCAAGCAGCGGCTGCGTCCAGCAGCAGCAGCAGCAGCATCAGCAGCAGCAGCAGCAGCAGCAGCAAGGGGCCCCTAGATGAATGGAAAGTCCGAGAGGCCATTGTTGCTGCCGCCTGCCCGCAACTGACTGGAGTGCCAGTGGCTGTGCTGTCGATGCTGCTGGCTATTTTAGGTGCTGCTGCTGCTGCTGTTGCTGTTGCTGCTGCTGTTGTTGCTGTTGCTGCTGTTGCTGTTGCTGCTGCTGTTTGCGTGTTCTTAAGACTTAGCGAGGGGTGCTGCTTTTGCTGCTGTTTCTCTTTACGCTACTGCTGTCCTGCACGACTGGCGAGCCCGGAGGCTGCTACTGCTGCTGCTGCTGCTGCTGCTGCCGTCTTGTCAGTGCTTCCTTCAGATGCACACGCTGCTGCTACTGCTGCTGTTGCTGCGAGAGACTTTTCTGCCGCCGTCGGCCTCGTGGTTGTTGCTTGTTGCTGCTCTCTACGGCTGCTGCTGCTGCTACTGCTGCTGCTGTTTCGCAGGCGGTTCAGACGCTGCTAGTGCTGCTGCAGCAGAGCAGCAGCAGACCCCTTCTAGCAGCCGCTGGGACCGCTATCAGCAGCAGCAGAACAG